AATCAGTGTTATTACCATATACTGGAACTTGACAGTGGTAGACATGCCTTAGAAATAGTATTTCATAGGGAACAATCAGTGTTATTACCATATACTGGAACTTGACAGTGGTAGACATGCCTTAGAAATAGTATTTCATAGGGAACAATCAGTGTTATTACCATATACTGGAACTTGACAGTGGTAGACATGCCTTAGAAATAGTATTTCATAGGGAACAATCAGTGTTATTACCATATACTGGAACTTTATAGCCATTAATCAGCATGCTAGCCGCTAAATTAGTGACTAGAGTAATGGTCCTATGCAGTCAGTCCTATAGTGAAATCCAATATAGTTTCAAGATTTTGTCCTACAGTGAAATCTAAAATACTGTTATTACCCTAGACTGGATCTTTGTAGCAAATAATCAATATTACAGTAAAGGTTTGGTTTGTAAATGTCTTACCTTTGAAGCGTTTTCTTGTTGAAATGGTTCTCTGAAATTTTGTCTTGGTCAGTGTCTGGTGTTTGTTTTTGAAACGAGATCAATCTTGGTGGTGGTTATGGAGTCTCGGTTTCGACGACGATGAAGACGAATTGATGAAGACGATTTGACTTGATGAAGACGATGAGTGAAGTGAAGAGACGTTTTGCAGAGAACGTTTAATGAAAGTGCGCGTGCTGGAAGTTACGGTTTACTTTTTTTTAAGTTACGGTTTATTTTTTTTTTTTGGACGAAAGTTACGGTTTGGGCTTGTTTATAAGTTTGGGCTGGGTTTGTTTTGGGTGTCTTTTGAGTTTGTTTGGTGTTGGGCTTGATAGTGGCAGACCTGTAATTTATAGGAACTTGAACACTAATTTGTTATATAATAAATGGATTTTGGGTGTGTTTATAAAGTGTATTCTATGTGGGGTTTTTTTATAAATTCAGGTCCCATTTTGGGTATATTACTAAAGCTCCCATAAACTAATTACTTACAAGATAAGTGGTCTTGTTATACAACGACTACGATTAAACAATAAAATGCAATTTTTTTTATTTAAATATAGTCACGGTTTGCGGTAACAGCAAGTTGTGAAAATCAAATATCGCAACCGCAACCGCAAATGCAGTTCCGTTCTTCATACCGCAAATGCAGTTCGGTTTCCTGCAATTGCGGGTATATATCGGTTGGTTTTTTCGGTTTTTCAGTCTAAAATGTCACCCCTAAACATAATAGTCAAAAATCCAACAAGAACTAAAAGTCACTTTAGCAATTCGACTACTAGCGTACAAAGAAGCATTTATTTTTTGGTGTAACAAAACTTATTTACTACTTTAATCCCAAAAAAAAAATTATATTACTATATATTACAATAATGAGAACTAATTTATACATGCAAATACATCTTTGTATGCTTAACCAATTTATTATTGCATAAGGGATTTCCAATACTTCTTTGTATGTTTAATAAGTACTTCTTATTTGGTCTAACAAAATTTCTTTATTTATTACATTATATACTATGTGAGAGCACGAATTCTCCAACCAATAATGTAACAACATGTACATTAGATGCAACGAACACTGTTTCGATAACTGGTAGAGGAAGTCATTTCTGATAGGGCCATTGAGAAGTTGAGCCACACTTCAACCCAACACTTTTGGGATCACCTTCAAACTCGGGAATGGGATCAACCATGGAGAAGTAGTTGATCTAGCCATTTCATTGATTCCCATATCTAGATTCCTCGACTCTTGGCTTTCCTCTTTTTTGGTAAGTAAATATTCCCAATCTGAGAAACTAATCACCCCAAGACCATAAAAGCTAGCATCCATCAAACAAAGAAGGTAACATGCCCTAGAAGCAAGAACTTTACCTCTTTGGAGTTGCATATTCTAAGTCTAACTTAGGTGTTGGAGACCCTTTAGCTCACCCTACACCGGTGTTCTTGATATGGGTGGTTACGTGTTGTTAATTATCATAATATTATTTGATTAATGTTGACATGTTCATATATTATTGGTGATGGTTGGAAATCTTGGGTTGATAATGAAATTATAGAAAATAAGGTAATGGGAAGGATCTTTTGTGTAGTTGAGTTTCACCATTATGGTGACCAAGTTCATATTGAGATCAATGGTTTAGGCAAGACGACTAGCAAACGGTGAATTATGAGATTATTGACATGAGTGTTAGTTCATATAAATGGGCACTCGAGACCAAGTGGTATAAGTATGGTATGAGATGTGCGAGGTCTACTTGTTCAATTATATGAATTAACAGGAACAGACGAATGTACACCACTATCTTTGATTTAATATTGCATGTCACTTAATTTAGTTATATCAATCTATTGTGGTAAGGTTTATATCTCTACTGAATTGTGGTTTAGCTCACCCCTTTATAGACTTTGTAGCCTTAAAATCCAGTAAACGAGTGGTAGGTGAGCTAAGGTTAAATTAGATGAGAGTGGTAAAACTTTATCTATTTCTTATACATTTGTAAGATTTTATACCGATTTGTATAAAAATAAAAATAAAAAGTTTATTTACACCTATATTTCGGCCATTTTTATTTTACCTTTTATTTATCACACACCGAGTACGGGATTTCCACTATACCCCGAGTAACGAGATTCTGCAATTATCTTAATGATAGTTTGGCATATCTTAGACTGTATTTGGCATTTGAGTTTCACTATTTAGAGTAGAGTACCACTAGGGATGGCAATGGGTCAAATCTGGGGTGGGTATGCCATTCCTATTTCTATCCCCATTAAGCTTTTTTCTCTCATCCCTCCTTTATACCCGCAATATTCATATCGGAAATTCCCTATCCCCACCTTCGTTGGGGAATGGGTTCCCTGACTAGCCCCGTTCCTGAAGAAAAAACCAATATAAAACTACTTTGTTGAAAGAAAAAAAACATTAGGGTAAGATAATGAATATATATAATATATATTATAAGACAATACAATGATGTTTACATATTGACTATAACTTAACTAAATATATAAGTAGTGTGGCTTAAGATTCGTATAAATGATATAAATATATAATATAATAATAGGATATATACATATATATATATATATATATTCTAAACAAGGAGGGTTCAGGTGGAGGATTAAAATACCATCCCTGCCCCTCCCCAAACACCATACCCAAAAAATTCCCCGTACTCATCTCCATTCCCATTTTTTATCCTTCATATCCGACCTATTAGGGTCGAATTTCCACAAAGACCCTTACTCGTGGGGAAAATTGTCATCCCTAAGTACCATAAGGTACATGTCACTTCCTATTTTAAGATGCGCAAGACCCAAGGATGGTATATTGTAGTTATTCTTGGTTGTCTTTGGCCCTAATGAAACCAAAAAATAAAAGGACCTAACTCTAAGATTTTCTTTAATTTTTTTTACTAACACAAGAAATTGGGGATTAAACTATTAATCTAGTGAATTTTTTTTTTTCTCAATCTTGGAAGATATCCAACTTCCAATTCCCATGTTATATTGATAGAAAAATGAAAGAAAAGTGGGAATTAAACTGTTACTATGTAAGTAAGTTCTTTACCACTACGAAAAGTTCCTAGATATTTTTATCTAACTTTTAAAATTGTCCTACTTTAATCAAGAGAATTTTTTTTGTTTGGGATTTCGAATTTTTTATGCTTTGGAACTTTAATGTTTGGCACTTCCATTTTTAAACATCTAAAAATCACAAATGATCCTTGTGGTTAATCTTCTATGTCCAAATTAGTTTTGTGGTTTTAATTTTGTTAGACCTTGTGGACTTCACATGTTACTAGTCTTAGTTAAATCTCTACCTCTAAGGGTATTATGATCATTTTGAGTCTATTTTACTAAATTATGGATACTCAGCAATGAAATTGATGCATAATGATTATACCATCGTTGCTCGTAACACACACAATAATGTCCCCTTACACAAAATTGACTAAAATTGGTAAGAAATGTAAACTACAAGACCTATCTTGACATATAAAGTAAACCGCATTGACCATTTGTGATTTTATACATGTTTAAACCTTAGAAACACAAGAAAAATGTTTCTAAAAATGTATAACTTAAAGGCATGTTTGATAACCATTTCAGTTTTCACATTCTAGTTTAATAGGAAACTTGTTCGGTAACCAATTTTTATTTTTTTGTTTAAAAAATAACATAATTTGTTTAAAAGTTGTTTGGTAAATTATTTTAGTTGGAAATTAAATATTTTTAGGCCAAATTGTGATTTTTGAGGTCATGGAGTGAAAGTGCATATTATAAAGAGTTTGTGGTATTTTTTGGTTTATTTTTTGGAGTTATGATGAAGTTTTGGTGAGTTTTGGATCTAGAGATCTCGAGGCTCAGATTGGCGCCGTACACGATAGTCGAGCAGCAGGATCCAAGTCGGTAGGTCCCAAATGCTTAGTTTTGATAATTGTAATACAATGTATGTATAGTGATGTAAAATTGGTGAATGGCGGATGACAAAAAAAGAAAGAAAACATTTTCAAGTTGTTTTAGAAAATAAGGGTGATTTTGAGAACTGGTTTTCACTCTTTTTAAAACAAAAAAAGTAAAATAAAATGGTTATCAAATACAACCTAAATTCTTCAATAATTAGTTGCCTACCTTAATGGTTAAAAATTAGATTTTTTTCCCATATTGAACCACAAGAGTAATATGAGAATTTCACCAAGTAGCTATTAGTATAGTGTTACTTCTATTTCGAAAGTTGAAAAGAGATCCCAAATTTGAACGTTGAAAGAGATCCCAAGTGATGTAGAAAGGACTTCAAAATTTATTCTTTGATTTCTCATATTATAATCTTGAGCAAATAAAAGAATAATTTTTTGAAGTTGTACAAGATTATAAGCAAGCAATTTGATTTTTCCCTTCGGGACTAAACGCGCAGCGTCGAAGACTCAAAGGCACATCTGACATTGACACACGGAGAGGCTGGCATATCTTTGGACCGACCAAAGACAAAACCCACGTGAAATCTGTTATTAAAGTGATGTTTAATTATGTAAATTACGAACTTTAGCAGTTGATAGGCCTCGATGATTGTGCTTTCTACAGCTTATGCTTTTCTTAATTTTATCACCTTTATATTTTATACGTTTCTTTTACGGCTTCATGCTTATGCCTTCTCTTAATTTCCATTCAAATTTGTCACCTTTACTTTTCTATATGTGTTTTATTTTGGCTCTTCGTCTACTTTGGAATATACTACTGGCATCATATGTGGTGCCTTTTGTCGGCTGGAGATCCATTGGCCCTGGCTTGCCTTCTAATAGACAAAGGGAATTGCTTGTCAATGTCTTTTATGTGGGGCTATTTGTACCAGAAAAAAAGAGAGATTCTACACGGTTCATGCAGCTGTGGATGTCGACAAAAAAGTTACCTCTCCGACAAAAGTTAAAAATAAAACAAAAATTTTAAGCTTTTGTAAGAATTAGGGAGGAGAGAATCGAATCTAGGATCTCGAATGCAAAGTTACATGCTCGTAACCACATGAGCTACAAGGAATGGATGAAATCAAAGACAAAGCAACCCATATGGTGGTTGAAGGTTAGGATTTTTAACAAAATTCTCCATTTGAATTATTTATCTGAGAAGGAAAGAATGGATGAAGTAAAAAGACATGTTCTAGGGCACCTTTAATTATCAAGATGCACTAAATGTTGTTGCCTAAATCGGATTGTTGGAAGCTGGTCTGTCTCAACCATTTGCGCCTATATATATATATATTCTTTGTGTAATCACAATTATGAAAAAGTTGGGAGTTGGGACAGAGGATCATGGACACTTGTAGTAATCTAACCAGACAATGTGGGTCGTCTTCCTTCTTCCTTTCTCTTGTTTATGATGTAAATGTACAAAGTCAATATCAACTGGTTCGGAGAGGTTGAA